ATTAGACATGTTTTTTTACTCTTAACTGTTGCAGTGGTGTCTTTAATTTACTTCAGAGTTCCTTCTGACAGGAAAGTTGAGAGACTTTGTTACTGTCTTATCAAGTGGTGCTATAGCCAGGAGACAAATCGGGTCAACGCAAGTTTTCGTTTGATCGTCTTCCAGAACTTGTCTTTTGTTAGTGTAGGATAAGAATTTATCTGTAGTGTTTTTTAAAAAAGAAACAAAGCAAAACCCAAAGAACCCCTCATGTGGAACTATTAAAAAAATATTAACATTGCCTATGTTTCACTATATCTTGCTCCAGTGTTTTTTTTTTTTTCAAGTCTTTGTTTAAAAACAAAGTCATTCTATGCTTACCTGAGGATTTCAGAACTGCTAATTAAATTTAATTTTTGTGTAGCTAATTGGTTAAGTTTCAATATAATGCACGTTGTAGGTTTGCTTTTAGTGTAGTGTGTGCTGGGGAAGCAGGCTGGGCTAGTGTAAAATTTGATATGTCTTCATTTGGATATTACTAAACAGGTGAACTAACTCTCTTTTTCCAGAGGTGCCATATATGCATTTTATGTGTTCTGGTAGATGTCTTAATTTTAGGCATCTCAGATTTTAGCACAGTTCAAACTCAATTACATGAGTTATTGTTAGTCATGATAGTTGAGATCTATCCATTTACAAAAATACACTAATGATTCTCTCTGTGCTAGGATTTTAAGTAAAATTGCTCATACTGTAATGCCTAAATCTAAAAGTGCATGGTTTGAGTTTTGAGAATTAATTTGGAGAAGGCTCCATATGTGATATGGATGTATCCAAAATATATCAGACACTATTAGCAGTAATAGCTTTTAAGGCTCTTTTGCCAAGCTAAATACTGATCACACTTTCACTAGTGTTAAATATTGAGAGGATGTGGGTGTTGTGGCACCTTCTACATTTGATGTACATGTTGGTTATGGTTGGTTTGAAAACAGCTACATAACACAGTGTTATTTAGACTCTTTCCCCAGATGCTGGCAGGTGGTGCTAGTGGTTGTACTGACAATGCTTTCTTGGGTGGGAAAAAAATGTTAGGCATTCAAAAAGATTTAAATACTTAAGACTGTAAATGAGCTTGTTACATCATATATCCAGTGGGCCAACAGAAACTCTCTCTTGTTGATACTGCTTCTGTAAGACAGCACAGGTACTGGAAATCTGGTTTCAGTGTGGTGATCCAACATTTCTGCTCCCTGGAACACAATTGTAAATGAATCTTCAGTGCTTTGATTTGCTGATGTCTTTCTTCAAAGAAAAGGCAGAAATTTGTATTTTGACATATTCATGTCTTTACAGAGGAATCTTCCCAGGACCCCCTCAAAGGCTTACAATAATTTCAGCTGATGGTTCATGGTTACACGTATTTCTGTAGTGAGATACAAAGTTTTGAAATTAACAACTGTGATGTCAGGATGTAGCCAAAATTAAAATTTGGCATTATACTCCTACAGCTAAAATAGGTATCTTTGAAGTTTTTAATAGTTTCAGAATGGTTTGTTTTTTGTTTTTTGTGGGTTTTTTTTTTTTTTTTTTTTTTTTTTTTTTTGTAATATGACTTCATTCTTAACATCTGAGTAGTGCTTTGAAGATCTGAAGATTAGAAACACTGCTGAATTGCAAGTTTGTGGGGGTTTTGTGGGTTTTTCTTTAAAAATTGAGGATTAATGGCCATTAAAATCTGATAGGTGGCTACTCCAAGTGATTAAATAATTGCTTTGGTATTTTGAACACTGAATTTACAAGGCTGGGGAACTTGAGGTTTTTTTAGGAGTTACTTGTATATCCTTTTCTAAAGGGTTTTTGTGTACCTCAGTATTTCTTACATACTAATTGTATTTACTAAATTAAGCTTCATGTGATTATTGACTTGTGTGCTCAGAGGTATCAAATTTTGAAATCTGATTTTTTTTTTCTTAATGGTAAGTCAAATTACTTTATACATTTTCTACTTGAGTACATAGCATTTCCTACCTGACCAGCTGCATTATGTAAATAACTGTAATACATGAAATGTGGTTTGGTTACTGTTAATTTCACATAGCAATGGTATGTATAGCAGGGAAGAGTCTAATGGAATTTAAAACAATTGCAGTTTGTACACAGAGACAATATCTCTTAGTAGATGAATAGGTGGATGGGAGTTGTAAATAGTATTTGGAAAGTGATTTTGCATTGGATGAAAGATAGGCTGTTCGTTTTGATTTCTTTTTGATTTTTTTCTGTGTCATTTGGAAAAATGGATTTGTATTTCTCAGTGTGTTGTGTTACTTGCATTATTTATCACTTCTTGCATTTATTTTCAGACCAATAAAACTATTCTGATTTTGTTCTGATGCTTTATAAACATAATATCTTTTTTTTCTTTGAAAATGTCTAGATACAAGTTAGTGTTCATTTTTTTGGAGTGTGTATGGTTTACTCAATATGAAGTATTGGTTTGTGCAGTCAAATCAGGAAGTATCATGGCATTGTCATTTGTATAGTGATCAGCTCCTGCTGTATCTAGACTACCAAACAAATGGAAATGACATTTTTAATGTTTGAAACTGGTCTTGTTGTCACTAGAGAAATAGTTCTACTTTACACCTGAATGTCTGTTTTTAGTACTGAAACACAAGTTCTAGTGCATGTTTGCCTCTTGGTCATATGGTAGTATTTTGATGGCAGGTTTTTCAATCAAATTCAAGAGCCTGCTGCACTAAAGACTTGTGTCTTATGTGCTAAATAAAACTCTCCAGAACAAAGAACAAAACGAAAACAAGAATCATGGGTCATTGGATGCATTTCTCAGATTTGTTCGTTTATCTTTATAAATGATTTCGGTAGCTAATGTATTTTCCAGTGCAGTCATAAACCTGAACTTCTGCAGCTTGCTAATGGGTGTGAAATTTAGAGTAGTGAGTTCATGACCTTCTCTGCTAACTTTCTCAGGCTCTATTAGAAAACAAGCTTGCATGTAGGCCTAAATGGGGCTCTGTATCTCCTTAGATAATATCTGCTGTGGTCTTAGGCTAGTAATTGAAAACTGCATGCTTGTGTTATAACTTCATTATGTATTGGGATATTTGGTTAGCATTTAAGACTTTTGAACTCATATTTTTATGTCCCAGAAAAGTCGTTCATACGCTATGACAACCCATGCTCTCTTCATTTATTGCTGCTTTCTGTGAGCAATTATCATCAGAAATGCTGTGATAAAATTGGCATCGTATCACAAATGCTCCTGGAATGGAATCAAACAGGCAAACAGGATTTACAGTAACAGGGACAGTCAGTGTGCATAGAAAACTCTCGCATCCAGGTGATCTTGAACTGGTGTTTGCTGTTCTGCTTTCATGGTTACATTCTACTTCACTGCCCAGTGATCTTAATTTCCTTACTGTTTTTCCATGAAATGAGTTTTATATAACCAAAGTATCTCTTTGTCTCTCTGCTCTGTAGACCTATTTTAACAAATTGGATGAAAAGGTATGGCTTCGAAGGACTTGTGGGACAGATGTGAGTGTGTATTGGGGTGAAACAGTATTATTTACCCGTGATTGAGACGCTTCAATGCAAGTATGTTTAGATGCAGGAGAAAGCATCAGTGGTACTGTGAATGAACAAGGAATCTGTGTATGTTAGTCTTGTTTGATACTTATATCCAATTTGTTTAGAAAAAGGTATTATTTTCCATTCTTCCCCCACCCTCCCAAGCAGGCTGTATGTGAAGCTCTTGTCTTCTCATTTTACCCCAAGAAGGTAGTGTATTTGTAAAGAATTTATTTTCTAGTTACCCATTTGTTCCATTTAACCTCTATTGCAGTACTTTAATTCATTAATGATGGTTTTAAAATTATGACATAAAGTTCTGCTAAACAACCAAGGAGAAAGCTAGGGACAAATATATGTTCCTGATGTGTAAATATGGGCTTAACTCCT